CATCAAATGCTCATTCATGGAATTTCACTGTTAATAATACAAGTTGTTTTAAAAAATCTTCCATATTGCCTTCTATACCTAATTACTATTTTGCACATGATAGGAAATTGAGATTGCGCAAAAATCACATTGATAAGGATCATCTCATTTGTGAAACTATTATACGTTTCTTATTCACTGTCTAATGTGTAAATTTGTCTCAGCATGTTTCTCATCTTCAGTTAAATAGGAAAAAAGTTATAAAAGGACAGAGTTATTTACTTATTTTTGGAACGTTTAGTTTGGCTCTTAAAACCTTTTAAAGTCTTCTATATTAATTACCCAAATAATTTAAACTATATACAGGCTCCGACTTCCGACGGGCAGATTTAATGTTATCCGACTTTACCATGGCCCTCGGCCGGGGCCAGGGTGTGTGTGTGCAGACGGCATTTTCGACTTAACTGTATTTTCGGTTTGCTGCGCTCGTCAGGCCACCCCATCGTAAGTCGAGGAGCGTCTGTACACGGTTATTTCGTCAAAATAATATATGCATCCACACAAAGCTAGAAAACACCTCTCGCTGGGTGATAGGAAATAAGTGACGGCAAAACCCTCGCGCAAGCCTTCGCGACGGGCGGGCAGACCCGGGCTGCGGTTAGCGCTCCCACACTCCCAGCGCGCGGGAGAGCGCGAACCGTGACAGCTCTCACCTCAGGCCAGGGGAGGTCGGGGGCGTGGTCGAGACGGACCGCTGAGCTGAGGTAATCGATGCGGTTCCGGGCGGTGGCGGTAAAGATGGTGTCCGCCCTCGCGATGGTCTCCAGGCTCGGGTCGAAGATCCTCAGGTGAAGGTCGGACCTCGAGTCCGGGGCGAGGTACTGCTCGAGTTCCTGCAGCGGATACAGCAGCTTCGTCATCTGCTTCTTCGGCAGCTGTAGCACCTCAGCAAAGGCGTGAGACGTGCTATAAACTCGCCTCAGGCGCCCCCGCACCGCCGACATCGCAAAGAGCCTTTGTGTCGCACGCCGCAGCCTGGGCGCAGCCATTCCTCCTGTCCCGGAAGCCCGCCGTGGGCCCTCGTTCCCAGGATCCGGGCTGCGTGTGCGTGAGCCTCGCTGCCGCGCTGCCTGCCGGGAGTTGTAGTCTCCGCTGGCCTCGCTTGATCCTGCTTGAGTGCTGGAGTCTCGGGCGCCGGAGGCTGGCGGAGGCGGGCGGTTTCTTTTAACACCCTGGCCTTAACGACTATGCCTTTGACTAGTACATCGCTGTGGGAGGATGTTTAACGGTTTCCACAGGTGACAGTCCCACCTGGTTATGTGGCCCTTGAGTCTAAAGTGAATGCGAAAAAGTGTGAAGGCGTGGTGGATTCCCGGCCCGTTTTATCTTCATAATTTCTAGTTGTCTTGTAGCTGGTTGACGTTTGTCATACGTCCACATCACTAGGAAAAGCACCTTTGCAAAAAAGATAAGGGCTGGTGAGAAAAGTGGTTGGCGTAGCACCTCATTTTCAGGGGAGGAGCTGTTCTTCAGCCTTCTCTGTAACTGCGGGAAATGTCCTTAAACTTTAGCGCTTTCTTACAAAAACAGTGTTGCACACGACTTACAGAATTGTTACACGCAAGTTCTATAACGACATCGTATTTCAAAAGTTTCTTCTCAACGCATTTAAATTAGTCAGTGCTGGAATGGGAGATACAGGTATCATATGATGAAATAAATGACTGAAAAATATTCCTGTATGAAAAATGGTAAGTCTTCTAAAACAGCAACAGCAATCAACAGAGGAATGGTAACTCACGGCCTCTTGATCTATTCCCCAGGTTGTTCAGTAACTAAATAAGGCAATTCTTAAATAAATATGATTCAAAACTATAACGAGCAGAACCAACGACTTTGAAGGTAGCCAATACAGCACCCTGACCTATCTCTGGCAGGCTAATTCGTGATTAATCTTTGCATGAGTTTTTAAGGCTCTCT